ATTAGGTGGGTTATAGGGGGATGGGTCTGGGTGGGATGCTCTGAGGGTTGGTGTGGGCTTGTTGGGCTGAAGGGCCTGTTTCCTCACTGTAGGGATTCTATGATTCTAAATGGTTCACACTTGAGATTTGGCCATTTAGCCAGGAGGGGACTGGTCAAGGAACATAGAAATAGGCCACTGAGCTCGCTGAACCACTCAATTAGGTCATTGATGATCATCCATCTCAATACCTATCTCCATATTCCTTGATGTCACTAGTCTCCAGAAATCCATCGATCTCTGTCTCGAACATGCTCAGTGACTGAGCTTTTACAGTCCTCTGGAGTAGACTATTCCAAACATTCAATGCTGTCTGAGTGGGGGAATTCCTCCTTGTCTCAGCCCAAAATGGCTTTTCCCCTGTCCTGAAAGGTCATGTTTCTTGGCTCTAGACTCACCAACCAGTGGAAGGATCCAACCTACATCCATCCCTGTCATGTTTGGTTGGTAATTTGTAAATTTCAACATCACTATTCGTTGTCTGTGAATGAAAGTGGAGCATTGCCTGTTTGTTTGGCCTAGAGGGTGAAATGTCATTTGTGAATATTGGCACAGCCAACCTATAACCCAAGGCAGGGACAAAAACAGAAGTTGCTGGAAAAGCTCAGCAGGTCTGGCAGCATCTGTGGAGGAAAAAAAACAGAGTTAATGTTTCAGGTCCGGCGACCCTTCCTCAGAACAGGACCCGAAACGTTAACTCTGTTTATTCCTCCACAGATGCTGCCAGACCTGCTGAGCTTTTCCAGCAACTTTGTTTTTATTCCTGATTTACAGCATCTGCAGTTCTTTTGGTTTTTATTTAGCCCAAGGCTGGGGTTTTGTGGAAGTGAAATCACAGTGGTCCTCCAAAACCAGATTGGCCGAATCATGGAGTAGGGACCAAGGGTAGATATAACCCTTCACACCCCATCACCCACACCACACACATTGGTCCTACCACTGTGGCAACACAACTGATAACCAATAGTATAATCTTATATCCATCATGGAGACATGGTTAGAAGGAGATCACAGCTGGGTGATAAATATTCAGGGCTACTTGACTTTTCAAACAGGAAAAACAATAAGGAAAGGATAGTGGGCTGAACTAGTTAGGACAAGATGGCATAAGTACAACAGCAAGAATTAATTTTGAATCAGCTGATGTGGAATTCATATGGCTGGAGCTAAGTAATAACAAGGGAGTGAACACACCTTCATTCAGAAAAGGGCAGGAGATAAAAATAGGCAACAATAGGCCAGTTACTGGGGAAAGCAGAAGATAAGTGGATAGAAACTTTTTGTTAGTTGTAGTTGTGAACATACAGTAAAATATGTGTAAGCCACCACAAAAACGGCACCATTTAATTACAGAAGTTATAAAATGTTACAGTCTGTTATAAAAGACAGAGTAGCAGAGCATTTAGAAATAGCTAATGTGATCAAGCAAAGTCAACATGCCTCCATGAAGGGGAAGCGAAGCCATGTCTATCAGGTTTATTGGAGCCATCACAGTGTAGAGCTGGAGGAACACAGCATCTGAGGAACAGGAAAGTCGATGTTTTGGGTTGGGACCCTTCATCAGAGCTGGGGAGGGGGAAGGGAGCTGGGAAATAAATAGAGGGAGGATGGGTGGGGCTGGGGGAAGGTAGGTGGGATGGGATAAGTGGATGCAGATAGTGGGCTAGTGGGGATTGGTCAGTGGGAAGGGTGGGGTGAATGGGTGGGCAGGAAGATTGGAGTTCTTTATAGAGTCATAGAGCTGTACAGCAGGGAAACAAACCCTTCGGTCCAACTCATTCATGCTGACCAGATGCACACTAGATGAGGCACGGTGGGCTCAGTGGTTAGCACTGCTGCCTCACAGCACCAGGGACCTGGGTTCATTTCCAGCCTCGGGCAACTGTCTGTGTGGAGTTTGCACAGTCTCTACGTATCTGCACGGGTCTCCTCCCACAGCCCAAAGTTGTACAGGTTAGGTGGATTGGCCATGGGAAAAGCAGGGTTACAGGGATAGGGTAGGAGGTGGGTCTAGGCAGGTGTCGGTATGGACTTGATGGGCCGAATGGCCTGCTTCCATACTGTACAGATTCTATGATATCCTAAATTAATCTAGTCCCATTTGACCCATATCCCTCTAAACCCTTCCTATTCATGTACCCATCCAGATGCCTTTTAAATATTGTAATTGTACCAGCCTCCACCACTTCCCCTGGCAGCTCATTCCATACACGCACCACCCTCTGCATGAAAAAGATGCCCCTTACGTCCCTTTTAAATCTTTCCCCTTCACCTTAAACCCATGTCCTCTAGTTTTGAACTCCCTCACCCTAGGGAAAAACCCTTGTCATTCAATTTATCTATACTTGTCATGATTTTATAAACCTCAATAAGGTCACCCTTCAATCTCCTACCCTCCAGTGAGGAAAGTCCCAGCCTTTCCAGTCTATTTTTATATCACAAACCCTTCATTCCCAGCAACATCCTGGTAAATCTTTTCTGAACCCTCTCCAGTTTAATAATATCCTTTCTATAACTGGGCAACCAGAACTGCACACAGTACTCCAGAAGAGGCCTCACCAATGTCCTGTAGAACCTCAACACGATGACCAAACTCCTACAGTCAAAGGTCTGAGCAATGAAGGCAAGCGTGCTAAATGCCTTCTTAACCACCCTGTCTACCTGTGACACAAATTTCAAGGAATTATGTACCTGAAACCCTAGGTCTCTCTGTTCTACACCACTGCCCGGGCCCTACCATTAATTGTATAAGCCCTGTATAAGATGGCATGAGGAACACAGAGTGGTGAATGAAACAAAATGACAGCACCAAGAAAGCGCCTGTCAAGATTTAGACTTCTCTTAATAAACTGCCCACCCCTGTCAGTACTGTCGCTGCTGAGGAAACTGTGCTCCCTTAATGCGTCTCCAAGAGCTTTGAACGCTCCTGTCATCTGCCTTTCATTTCATTGATGTCGTCGCTTCAGTTAATGCGAATTTATCCAGCAAAATCCAGTGACATTTGGTGGACAAACTGTAATGCATCCTGGGGGGGCCTCCTGTCTGTCTGTTCCACCCCATGCTCTCTCTCCCTGAAATGCCATTTCTGTGTCAACATGCAGGACTCCCTCTTCCCACTCTCCCTCTGATGTTTCTCCACTAAATTGTAGATAAATAATACTTATGAAGACAAAGCGTCCTTCCCGACTCAAATGTCCCAAGTGATTTACAGCCGTTTAGGTGTTTTCGAATGTAGTCACTGCTGCACTGCAGGCATCACCATGTGTGCACAGCAAGTGCCACCTTTAACATTCACTCCCTCTTGATGCAATGACAGTGGGCACTGTAGCAACTTACCCAGCCTCCTCCAGTGCACCTTCCAAACCCATGATGTCTGCCGTCCAGAAGGACAGGGGCAACAGATACATGGGAACATCACACCCCTTAGGTTCCCCTCCTGAATTCACTGTCGTTGGGTTAAAGTCCGAGAACACCCTCCCTAACAGCGCTGTGGTACGGGACCCAGGAGAGAGTGCTACATTTGGGGTCATTTACCGAGATCTGCTAAGCTTGGGTTTGGGTGTTGGGGGGGCAGGATCCCGGCCCAGGATCAGCACCAGGAAACCGTGATTTCCATCCGCAACCTTGTGTGGGTGTACTCCCAACATGGGGACTGTAGTGGTTCAAGAAAGCTGCTCACCATCACCTCCAGACAGACAATAACTGCTGCCGTGCCTACAATCCTTGAAAAGTTTTTACACCTCCTTCAGAATCACCCCATTGCTGTGGGTCTGGAATCACACGGGGAGTCCAGACCAGGTAAGGACGGTAGATTTCCTTCCCTGGAGGACATCGGTGAACCAGGTGGGTTTTCACAACAATTGACAGTGGGTTTCAGAGGCACCGTTAGCTTTTTGAAGAACATTTTTGAATTAATTCAAATGTCACCACCTGCCATGGGGAGAGAGTTCAAACCCATGTCCCCAGAACGTTATCCTGGGGTTCTAGATTGCTAAAGTCACATTAGATCTGCCTCCCTGTCTCCAAGGTTCTAGTGAATTTCTGCAGTCCATCGATGCTATCTTGCCGCACTGGAACCTTTGCTGAGGATCTGGGTGTTCCCTGCTGGATGTCAGTAAGCTTGGAGACATTGCTTGGCCTGTGGTCTTGCGGAAACATTAGGAACCCAATTTTTTTTATTCATTCACAGGATGTGAGCATCCCAGCATTTATTGCCCATATGGCAGTTAAGAGTCACCCACATTGCTGTGGGTCTGGAATCACATGTAGGCCATACCAGGTAAGGATGGCAGCTTCCGTCCCTAAAGGACATTAGTGAATCAGATGGGTTTTTCCCCCAAAAATTGGGGATGGGTTCAGGGTCGTCACCAGATGCTGAATTCCAGATTTTTATTGAATCCAAATTTCACCATCTGCCGTGGTGGGATTTGAACCCAAGTCCCCAGATCATTACCTGGCTTTCTGAATTAATGGGTCTTAGTGATAATATCACTAGGCCATCGCCTCCATGCAATGCATGGGGTTACAGGATTGATGGAAGAGCAAGGAAGGAGGACCCCTTCAGATATGTTCGAGGAGTTTTAAGACATCATCCATCTTCAGAAGACAGATTGGAAAGAGAGCATGAGAGATCGGGAATGGGAAGGTGTGGAGATGATTTTTGCATAGCAACAGGAGTGAGAAATTCTGCCCTGTATTTGAGTCTCCTTTACTCCACAAAAGGGCATGGGTGGTGGTTTGTACGGTGCGCAAAGACTGATATGGACTGAATGGCCTATTTCTCTGCTGTACATTGAAGGTGATTCAAGTTGAAACCGACTGGGCGCAGACATGATGGGCTCAATGGCACAGGACAATTCAGTGATTCTGAGCAATGGGCAGCCTGTGTGATTTATTGTGCTTTGTTTTTCAGAAGTGACATATATTTACTGATCCTTTATCTCTCTGTCCCTCTCCCCCAGCTGCCTTGCGTGTGTGAATGGCTCCTTTCCTTGCCACTGGTGCAAATACCGTCATGTTTGCACTCAGAATGCCGCGGACTGTTCGTTTCAGGAGGGTCGAGTCAGCGTTTCAGAGGTAAGCTCTTGTGATGGGACTCTGCAGTAGATTACTGTCTGTATGAAGCTGAGGGTTGCTGCATTACAGAAATCCCCCATCCCCTCCCCAACACCAGCACCTCCACAGAAAGATGGCACCTGAAGAGTGGCAATTGGTTGGGTTCGGTGTAGACAGTGGCAAGATGGGTGGGAGAGGGATGGTGACACAGCCATTATTAATGAAGAGTTGGCTCAGGACTGACGGACTCTCTTTGAACAATTTTTTTTTACTTAAACTATTCAAAATGGCGTCAGATCGTGGTGATAGTGAAAAAGCTTTTCACTGCAAAACTTTTCTCATTGTAAAATACATGTGACATTAAATTCATTCATTCATTCAGATAGTGATTCCCTAACATGGTATATTTATGGACAAAAACAAATTTGCTGGAAAAGCTCAGCAGGTCTGGCAGCATCTGTGAAGGAAAAAACAGTGTTAATGTTTCGGGCCCAATGACCCTTCCTCAGAACTGGACCCGAAACGTTAACTCTGTTTTTCCCTTCACAGATGCTGCCAGACCTGCTGAGCTTCTCCAGCAACTTTGTTTTTGGTCCTGTTTTACAGCATCCGCAGTTCTGTTGGTTTTTATATGGTATATTTATGGATGGCTCTTCCATTAATGAGCTGTGCCATAAAGGCACCTTGTCACACATCAGTGGACAGAAGTGATTGAAATTCAGCGCTGGGCACATTTGACTCCATGCTCACTGTGCCCAGCCGGTCGAAATTCCTGTCTAATCAGTGGGACTTCTGTTCGAGGTCACGACTTTAAAGATAACCCGGGGAACGTGGGGAGAAGCAGTCATCATCGTCAGGGTCTGAGCAGCATTCCAGCTGGTAATCTGCTCCATCCTCTTGGAGAGACATTTCATGGGAGACATCTGCCCGGAGGCCTCGAGGTTGCTGTCCTCCCCAACCATTATGGATGGAAAGCTCCGGTTCTTGTTTGCTCCAGATCGGCAACAGCAGGGGGTGCTGTTTGGCGCTCATGGCTTAGGCGAGGGTAATGATTGGCCCGGTTCCCTGCTCCTGGCCCCGGTTCTCTGGTTTATGATGAGCGTGCATGCCGGATACAAAAACAGAAATTGCTGGAAAAGCTCAGCAGGTCTGGCAGCGTCTGTGGAGAGAGTTAACATTTCCGGTCGAGTGGCCCTACCTCAGAACTCGGATGTTGCCTTTTTGTCTTCCATCCCCCTTTCTGGCACCCCTGTCCTATGGTCCGTCCCACTCAAACTGCAATCTTTGAGCCCCCTTCTGTCATTCACCCCTCTCTTTCTCTGGGGCGGGCCTAAGAGGTTGGGGTGGGCGTAACCTTGAGTTGACGGGGGCAATGTCAGAAAGCACATCTCAGCACAAGGAGAAGTGGAAGTCTGCGAGAGTCTACCTCCAAAAAAAACTATTCAGGCAATTGAAAACGTCAGAACTGCGCATGACAGGACATTATTGGGAAAGAGTGTGGAGGGCTGTGGAACCAGGATGGGTTTCTGGAGTCATGAGTGCTTTAACGAATAGAATGGGCTTGTGGGGCTGACTGGCATGCTCCAGCTCCAAATCACCTTCCTTATTCTGGACCAATTACAAAACAGATCACTTTATTACAAACCCTCAGGTGAGAATTAGGGGGCTGGAGTAGATGGACAAGCTTAAATGTTGAGGTGCATTGCTCATAACTTTCGCAACGGCCATGATTTTCTGACAAGGGTTCATTCTTGCCTGGCCTCTCTGCCAGTCCCAGGGGAATGTCTGCATGGCTTTGAGTTTTGTTCTGTATTGCTGAGTGCGATGCAGCATCTTTTATTGTGTGTTCTGTTGCCTCATTGCAGTTTGGTTCAAGATAAGACTGGCTGAGGAGAAGTTCAAGTCAAGTGCTGTCTTCAAAGTAACACTATTTATTTTACATTAATACTAACTACTGCTATATATGGTCCTCATAGATCCACCAAGCTCTGACTTATAATTACATTAGGTTATGACTAATCGATCTTCTTTGAAATTTCATGTGAACTTACTCCCAGAAAATCTCACATTCTGGTGTATCTTCCCATCTGCTCTAACTCCGCCTACACTGCGAAATTTATACCCAGTGATGTGCAGTTCCCTGACATCATTGCAAGGTTGTTCCAGGGTCCTAATGCCCTTACACAGTCGAGTGTTCCCTTGCCTCCCCACCTTCCTTCCCTCTTTCTTTTATAGGGAAAGTAGCCACTGTTTGTGGACATGTAACATCTACATCTTACCATAGACTGGGTAATTTGAAAGCTCTGCCCTTGACGATAATGCATAGCGATGGTGTTCCCTGACAGGATGGAGCGTTACCTTCTACAGCTTCACTCGGATCCATCACAGTAACAGTGGAGAGGGTTTGGGAGGAGCTGGGGTTTCAGGATGGTGGGAGTTGCTAGGAATTGTCACTTAATCAGCTGGACCTGACAAACCCTGGATCTGAATCGCCAAGAAATGTCACTGGGATGTAAAGGACACTGCTTCTTTAAACACGTTCCTTGAACTTTTTCGTAAGTCGTAAACTGATTGAAAATGGGGGAGGGGGAGAATGTTAATTGGGAGCGATAGTTGAAGGGGTCATGTGATGGACCAGTGAAGAATACATTCCAAGTTGGCATTGCCCCAGGGCGAGGAGGGAGTGCATTTTAATCCCAATAGCCTGCCTTAATAAAATGTCTGCAGTGATTGTAATGAGGTCAACCAGGTGGACCTCATAAAATAGGAGTTCTTTGATTGAGGCTGTTAATTTGGTCCAATCAGGGAGCCCTGGCTGACAGGAGTGTCAGAGATTCTGTTCTTTCTGACAGCAGGCTCTGAGGAAGCTGGATCAGTATTAAGGACTCTCTGCATGTAAATAAAGGGTGACTTGGTGATGGAATACTCTCTGGAGTTATTTCTGGTCTGTAAAGAATCGATGCACATTCATGAGATACCACCCCTCCTGCTTGCTTTTATTTGGCTGTGGTTAATTGCCTGTGAAATCCATCTCTGATCAGAGCTCTTTTCAGACTCACAGACCAAGGTAATGTCACATAATGGCGCACTGCTATGTGGCTGGGGGATGCGAAAGGGGTTTCAAATATTAACTTGATTTGGAGGGGTGAGAGTGCCCCCCTTTAATAAATACCAGTGCTAATGGCCAATTATAAGCCTAACATTTAATTATCCTATTCCTGCCTCCCACAATGCTGGCTTTGAGATTCCCGTGTTAGTCAGAAATACTCTCCTTTTCTCTCATTGTTTTCTCAGTGAAGTCACTTCTCCAACAATTAGACTGTAGAGACATTGTCAACCTTGCTAGTTAATCCCATTATCTACATCTACATTTAGCAGGCGACTGGAACCTTACCTCTGGAAGAGGAGGAAATAAAATTCGAACAAAGGGACGCGCAAAGTGTTAACGTTACCAGTTCCCATTAAACTGCAGAATGGAGACTTGGCTTTCACATGTTTGAAATGGGGCCCCGTTGTACTTGAGAAGGTTAATTGCCTGGCATTTAAACCGAAGCAAGGAAGCTGGTTGTGTTTGTGCCAGGGACTGGAATGCTTGCTAAAAATGGGTGATCACTGTCACCTGAGGTCAGGTATACAGTTGCCAAATCTCCAGACACTGAAGATTAATCTCCAGCGAGAAAACTACTTGTCAGCAAAACTCAAAAAGGAAAATAAATCAGTAGAGGGTTAAAATAATCATTTATGAAAATTTTCTTTGAACACGTTTCTTAGTAGAGTTTTATGGGGAGCCAGTGCCTTGGTGGTAATATCACTGGACTAATAATCTGGAGGACCAGCCTGGGGCCACAGGTTTAAATCTAACCAAGGCAGCTGGTTGAATTTAAATTCAGTTTTGTAAATCTGGAATTGTTTCAGTTCTAAGGAAGAGTCACTGGATCTGAAACGTTAACTCTGATTTTTCTCCGCAGATGCTGAGATTTTGCAACAATTTCTGTTTTTTTTTCTGGAATTGCTAGTCTTGGTGATAATGAATTGATTGTTGTAAGAGCCCGTCTGGTTCTGTAACATCCTTTAGGGAAAGAAATCTGCCACCCTTACCCGGTCTGGGCCACATATAACAGTGTGGTTGACTCTTAACCAACCGTTGAAATTGTCCAGTAAAAGCTGATTGGGTCTATCATATTGCTGCAGAAATAAACCCTGTAGATATAGCGACACAACATGGAATGCAGCACTCAAGAGAAGGTGACTGCTCAAGGGTAATTAACGATGGGCAATACTTAGCCAGTGACGGTCACATCCCAAGAATAAATAAGACCAGAAGTTGGCAAGCCTAGTCCTCCATATAATGGTTAAGTTGGGCTTGAGGTGCTCAAAAGACTACTGTCTCATTGCAATTTTCCATTCCCTACACAGTGTGAGGCACGACCTCTCAGCTGAAACTGTCCAAAACCAATCTGCAAGGACAATCTACTGAGGACAGTTTGAGTAGGTTGGGTCTGTTACTCATTGCAATTCAAAAGAATGAGAGGTGACCTTATTGAAACATACAAGATTGTGAGGGGACTTGTGGGTAGATGTGGAGAGGTTGTTTCCCCATGTGGGAGAATTTAGGACCAGAGGACATCATCTCAGAATAAAGGGTCATCCATTTAAGACAGAGTCATAGCCAAATCATCCATGCTGACCAGACATCCCAATTTGACCTAGTCCCATTTGCCAGCATTTGGCCCATCTCGCTGTAAACCCTTCCTAATCACACCCATCCAGATGCCTTTTAAATGTTGTAATTGTATCATCCTCCACCACTTTCTCTGGCAGCTCATTCCATACACTCCTTGTGTGAAAAAGTTACCCCTCAGTTCCTTTCTAACCTTTTCCCTCTCACCTTAAACCTATGCCTTCTCGTTTTGGACTCCAATACCCTGGGAAAAAGACCTTGTCTATTCACCCTATCCGTGTCCCCCATGATTTTATAAACCTCTATAAGGTCACTCCTCAGCCTCTGAGCCGCCAGGGAA